GGTGGGCTGTTTTCACAAAAAGCCACTTCATGCTAAAATCAATGTTAAACAATAAAAAATGTCGATGTCATACTGAATAGATAAAAACTATTTTGATTGACTTTGAATGTTTCGCCAATCCCGGTTTTTATAAATAACTAGCAGAGTAACCGGTGTTCCCCGGACGAAAATAGCTTTAAATTGATTTAGTTCTTTATTGACATGGTAATTTAGTGATCTACTTTAAAGCTTCTTCGTACATAATATTTTTTGTCTTGCTGCCAGGAACAAAGAAGAAGAGATTCTGACCAGAGAAGCAAATGAAGGCTTCAAGAAGTTTTTAAATCGTTTTAACACATAATTGATCATGGATAGAATGATTAGAAGTCCTCACACAAAGAAGAAGAAACGTAAATTATAGCCTTCGTGATCACAGATTATCCAAAAAATCCGGCCTTTTCAATATGAGATCAATTGATCGTCGCGTTTACCAAAAATTGCTATATTGGTCACTTTGGCCTCAATTTGCGGTTTCAAAACGGCCTCTGAGGCCGCGGCCACATAGTCCATGTTATATATATATATAGAGAGAGAGAGAGAGAGAAATATTATAGTAGTGACATCTAACATCTAGAGCATAAATATTAAACACTATCACATCAAAGACAAAAGTATTTTCCATAATGAATTTCACCCCTTTCCCTAATGTACGTCCCCCGGTGTGTAGACGGTAAGTTTAAGGACTCACAATGCTAACATCCATGGTTCGATCCTCCGCTGTGTTGAGAGCCTAGGTAGCTCGTGGTTTTGCTTTATACCAAAACAATAACCCCTATCTAAATTTATACTCAATTTTTTTTTCTAAAATTTCATGTACATTTCTATGTTTGAAATTACTATAGAGTGTGCAATAATTTTAACACCAAGGAAACTTAATGCTATTATGTTCTTTATGTATCATGTGGTACGCAACAGGTGATTTATTCATTCCCTAGTTGACCAGGTGGTTAGGGCGCTCGACTCGTAATCTGAGGGTCGCGGGTTCGAATCCTTATCCCACCAAACATGCTCGCGCTTTCAGCCGTTGGTAAAAGAGTAGCCCAAGAGTTGGCGGTGGGTGGTGATGACTAGCTGCCTTCCCTCTAGTCTTACACTGCTAACTTAGAGATGGCTAACGTAGATAGCCCTCGTGTAGCTTTGCGCGAAATTCAAAACAAACATTCCCTATTTTTATAATGTTTTTATGTTAAATTTATTCTTACTTCCATTGACTGTTTTATGTGTCCAACATAAAATTTTCCACAGTTGCAAGGTATTTCATAAACCTCTATTGGTGGCAAACTAGGTGTGATATATATGTTTTATATAGGATTTTTTAAAAATAATTTACTTAGTTTATATGTAATTTTGGCATAAACACGTGGTTCAGAAAACCTTTGAAGTTGCCGTGTTCTAATTGCCTTTCGTCCTCTCTAACAGATAATATCTACTCTGCCCGAGGAGGTATTTCAGCACCTCTGTTTTGAAGAGTCAGTGACTGCAATGTCTTTTGTTGGCCGATCGGATAATGTCTGTTTTACAGCTTATGAATGCTGTAGAAAAATAATCAGTCACGTAGTGACGCTGCTGCAAACACAATGAAACTGATGTTTACTGTATCAATATGGAACCGTAATTCTACTTGATTTTTGATCATGATTAGTCCGGCAGAGATACATCTGATGATCTATCCATTGATCCAGTATTGGTGATTATTTATTTGTCTATGCAGGTACATACACTGTTTTTCGTTTGTATTTGTGAATAAATATTTGTCTTCACTGTTCACGAAATGTGTCAAATCTGTTTATTTCTCACGCAACTTAAATATCAGTCGAGTTTTCAGATTCAGATTGCTCTCAGATTTCCTGTTCAACAATACTGATATTAAGAGAATCTATTTAATACTTGCTTGGAAATCAGTTCACTTGAGAATATCTTCTAAATATTACAGTTTTTAATGGGGATTTATAGCTTGAGAAAATAATGTCAACACTGTGTCTCAAACCCTAAGCTTATTTGTTTACTTTTTGTTTGCGATTGTATTTTCACTTGAAGCTACCTATCTTGTTTCTGTAATTTTTTGAAGATCCCTATTCCCCCCTTTTAAATTAACAATTTTTAATAATCTTACTTTTTTATGTCCATTATGGACATAAATCTATATAATATCAATATTGTCCTATTTGAAACAATTTTAGTCTAATAAAATACGTAGTTAGTGTATGATGATCTCTTGGGAAACAATGACAACCTTTGAATTGGCTTCATGCAGATTGGATGGCTATTACTCCTGATATCGTTTCCACAATGTTATCATTGATAGTGGTACTGTACGTATGATCAATATGATGCATGGTGGTAAACATATCACATATGTCATTGTAAAATATATATATTTATACATAGCGATATGTAAACAACACTGTATTGGAGGGACTACTGAACTATACTGTCATGGTGCATGAACTGGATTTTGTATCCGCACGAGTTTTATACATGCATACACACAATATATATATATATATGTATACGTGCAGGCTTTATGGGGTTTTTTTAAAGTTGTAAGGCCGTATATATATATCTAGTCATACGATTTTTTCAAGTTGTATAGCTACATGCATATATATTCAATGCAAATATAAGACAATGTGCCATAATATAATGATGTTTGTATACAGACAATCATTTTAAATATTTTTTACAGTTGTTATGTTTCCCCCTTCCTTCCACTTGCCATAGTAAGGCCCGTCACGGCTTTGCTGCAGCTGGCCAGATTTCCTCTTAAGAGTGACATTCTGCACACTCTACGATGTCGAAAATGTGTTAATTAACTGATTATATTAACATACCCCCCATCCATTTCTGATAGAGTTTGGGTCGTGACACTTCTACGACCGTTTTCACGAACTCAAACTCTGGTGGGCCGTCGCTGCTGCATACTTTATCTGAAACTGAATATTTTCTCAATAAAATTTATAGATACAAAATTTCTGCCTCAGTTCCGCCATCTCCTCCTGGCACGGTTCTTGCCACTCTTTATAGTCAGCTTCAGGGATGACTACTCTATCTGAAGTATCTATAAAATTTGCACTCACGCAGTATTGACTATAATTAGACACTTACTATCAGCCATCACCGTGATTGCCGATCCGATTCTCGAAATTGAGCTTGGTACTGTCTTTTGAACTACGGCTGAAACATTTCTGTTTGTTGGAGGCAGCCTAGTCGTTCGTATAACATTTTAGACGTTTGTGTAATTTGGCCGAAATCGATCATGCAGTGGTACAAAATAAAAGGTGATCCTATCAGCAGCATCATGTCTGAATGGGCAGGAAACTTATACATAAGCAAATGATACGTGGTTTCAAAAGAGTTACAACAACAAGTTAATAATCGCTATGGTACATTTTTCATGTATGCCATATAAACATTAAATTACATCCACGGCCTGCACGCAGCTATATACGTATGCAAGTAATAGATTATAAGGCTTCATATAAACCACAGACTACATTAAAACGATTGGGTGTGAACAGTTATACAGCCACTGTTATTTGCTAGGTTGTCAAATAAACTTAAAAACTACCCTACACTATGCGCAATTATGCGTTGAGTAATACTTCCCAGGTTTTATTACAATACTCACAGACATTTTTGCTGTAGGCTTGCGGAACAATATTAAATAATAATAAAGAAGGATAAATGGACGATTCCTATTACGAACCACTACCATGGTTCATGATAAAAGTGAGTTTCCAATTTTCACACATCGCTAACGAACCACTACCATGGTTCATGATAAAAGTGAGTTTCCAATTTTCGCACATCGCTAACGAACCACTACCATGGTTCATGATAAAGGTGAGTTTCCAATTTTCACACATTGCTACATACACTAAGGTTCCGGAGAGTATTGCTTGACTGTAGTTAGTAGTTGATTAGCGATTACGATGGAAAATGAGACTTTCAAGTTCTACAATTGAGTTGAGAAATTGTAGTTCTTCTGGCTATCAAGAAGAATACAAAATTAATTCATTGTCATGATACTCAAACGCATTTCTGACGTAAGAACATGTTCTGTTTAATGTCTTGAAGAACTTTAGTCATTCCTGGTGAAAATGCAACATTTTATGGTGGGCATGACCAACAATAAACTACAGGTGCATTCTGGAAGGCCATTCGTTCTTCTATAGGAAACAAAACTGCAAGTCCTGCAGCAACAGGTTCATATGTATTATGTGCTTTTCTCTGTAGTGTATCAGTACAGAGAAGGATGAAGCGAGACTCATCAAATCACGTTATATTTATTAACTGACATAGTTTGTGCTCTAAGCATCACAAAACCATTGCTTTCTTGTTTACATTTGAGATAACAGGTTTTAGAATTGGGTGTCAGCTGCCATATAACAGTTTTTGTAATGTTCTTTACATGGCATGGTTGGAAATAACCGAATTCTGGTCTTTGTTGAGGAGATCAGTGCATTAGAACACAGCCTGATGTTTGTTGGACTTTATTTTCTCTCTACCAATTAATATTAGTTGAATGTCATATTTTCCTATTAGTAGACATATTCTCCAATATAAACATGTTTCAAAGTGATCCAGAATCCGGGTCCGGACCAGATTTGGGGGGGGGGGACCATCCCATGGGGACACCCTATCTCCTGTAAAAAATTCAGGTAAATCGGTTTATTATTTCTCGAGATACGCGCGCAGACATACATATATACGGATCCAAATGCAATACCTTCAACCCCCTCTACAGTTGCGTTTATACATGCATGAGCTGCTAATTAGTTTATTAATTTCAGTTTCTAACTTTCTAAATGTGATTGCTTCGATAATCCTTATACAATTTAATCTTTTATCTATCTTTTATTTTTTGTTTTGCTTTAGACTTGTGAATGTCGTATAATCATGACAGTGGGCCCGAAATTTACATCAGTCGTGGTGCCTGCGGTTACTGTTCTCATGATTTTGGTGAGTGCATTGCGCTTTGGTGAGTCACAGACTGTCATGCCTTCTCCACTGGGTTGCAGGTTCATTAAGCAGAACATCACTACAGAATGCCGAAACACTACCCTCGACAACGTTCTCCATGCATTGAAGATCTTAAACACGTTGATCAGTGCCTCGTACAAGCCTCGAAGCATTGTGATAGAAGACTGTGTAATACCATACTTACCGTACGTGTTTCCAAAGTTTAACGAGTCTTTGGAAAGAATAAAGCTAGTCCAGAGCCAATTAGAGTACGTCTACCCTGATGCTTTTGATCATCTTCAGAATAAGTTACACTATTTAGACCTCTCGCACAATAAACTCCATTCTGTTCCGTATGCTTTCAGTACCCTACATTCTTTAGAAATTCTTAATCTTCAGTACAATCAGATCGTTTTTATTTGGCCCGGACCACAGTTCCGCTGGATGTTCAACCTTCGAGAATTTAACCTGGCTTACAACCAGATTGGTTTCTCCAGTGACTATGTCCCGGATGTTCGTAAGCTTACTATCCAGGAACCCGTTTCAGGTCATCTGTACCAGCTAGCTCAAAACCTAACATTGGAAGAGTTCAATATTGAACCAGTTACAAGCAGCCTTGAAATCTTCAACTTAAGTGGAAACAACCTAGCGACACTTCCTGCTCAATTGTACCAAAGAAGGTTGCCCAGTTTGAAAATCCTTGATTTAAGTAACAACTTCCTGTCCGAACTGCCTAAACTGACTGCTCATTTGTTACCAGGGCTGAGAAGGTTAAGTCTACGATTGAACTTGATTGAAACTTTGTATTTTTACTCTTTGCCCACTGATCTAGAAGAACTTAATTTCTCTGGTAAGATATTTACAACATTGACAGTATTTTACTGAATGTTTGATATTTACTATATTGACACAGTAATTTACCAAATGTTTTGATATTTACAACATTGACACAGTATTTTACCGAATGTTTGATATTTACTATATTGACACAGTATTTTACCGAATGTTTTGATATTTACAACATTGACACAGTATTTTACCGAATGTTTGATATTTACTATATTGACACAGTATTTTACC